GAATGCACTTTTGTAAAGTCTTGCAAAAGTCTCTCTAATTAGAAACATTCCGTTTTGATTCACTTTTCTCTTAGAGGCTCCTGTAGAGGAGATTTCAGTGGTGAAGAGAGATGGAGGACTTTATGTTGATGCTATTGATGACCGTGGAGTGAATGCTGTTCTCAGTGGATTAGTACGTAAGTAATGTAGAACACTACCAAATCCTGTCCGTCAAGTAACTATGCCTTTCAAATGCAACCTCCACAATAAAGGTCAACTTATGGCTGCATTTTATATTGCTGTCGATTTATTCAGCTGATTTTTCAAGACAAAATGAAGTTAACAAAGTATCTAGTGGTTCATGTCTGTACGCAGGGTGTAACTTCATGCTTAGACCTAACATATCTTGAAACAGCTGCAATTAAACAGTTTAACAACAAGTGCACGTCTATCTCACCACATTTTATTTGATTTCTACTTTTACCAGCTGACAACTTTGCTGTGCGGGAGCCTTATGATCGCGTCATACGATGTCTGGGTTTCAAGGTACATTTGGCTTTGAATCTAAAAACAAGACCATATATTAAACACATTTTTTGGTTAATTACTAAGAATGGAATATTGTTTATGGAATATTTTGCCGGAGAATTGGTTCATGTTTAGCGTGCGTATATCGAGTCATGGATGCACGCGGGTAGTTTGGAGAGCACGAAAGAAGCGTAACAGTTGCTCGAGGCGACAGCTGAGAGCAACTCTAGCTTTCTTGAGTGCTCTCCAAACTTCCCAAGTGCATCCATAATTCGATATATGCACAGCTAAAAGCATGAACCAGTTCTTTTATAACAAGGCGACAACAACTTGGGCGCTAAAACATGTTTATTTGTGATTGACTACAAAGTTCTCACAATGCATGGTGAAGAAAAACAAAGGTCATTAGGATCCTAACACGCCACCATCAATTGAGCAACGGTTGAGCGAAAATGCTCAACCTGGTTTCCAAAATTGTCAATGAAAAATTCGCTTCTTCGAATTAATTAGTTAATTCCTCGAATTAATTAATTATCATGAAAATGTAGGCAGACAAGGTCAAAAATACTCGATGATACTGTTGACAAGCAAAGTCAAAATACTCACGTTTAAGTAAACATCTTAGCTTGGCAAAAGCCAAAGGCTCGAAGTAGAGTTTGGATTGTTCAGAATAATCTTCACATTACCGAAACTTAAACAAAAGGAACTTGATATAAACTCGACGGAAATTTTGCAGCTAAATTGAAACTGCACATGTCATCTTATATACGCACGGCCGTGCGTACATAGAAATTTCGTTCACGATGGCTCAATACGAATGAGATAGGACTAGTGCGCGCGCTATGTTATAAACTTATTTATGTATGTTATTAACTGCCTGTGAGCCAAACTTTCTCAAACCCCTGAACAATCTATCAAAGGAAATCGTAACTGTGACCGTGTATAGATATGTGAGACCTGTTTCAGAATCTCGAAAGCCCCGGAAACGTTTCGGGCCCGCAAAGCCATTTTTAGTTCATCCGTATCTAAAAACAGAGAGGTGTATAGGCCCTGAAACTTCTTGAATGAAGGAAACTTCTGGTCATATTAAGAATATGTGAATATAAAAACAGCTCTATGATCATAAGGTTTGAGATTTTGCCACGGCTTTTCGGGTGCGAAAACCTTTTCAATACCTTAAAGAAACGGGCCCCTGATCTTTATTATTAATATAGATTTTTGATTTGATATAATAAGATTTTAGTTTTAGGTTCGATAGAGAAGATATACATTAAACATTCAAGACAGTGCTTGATCACTTTTCAAAGCACCTGCTGCATGTTGTGTAATCTCTCTTGGTGTTTGGAAATGTGGTAAAACATGGTCTGTCACATTTGTTATATTACATTCTCAAAATCATTAATAATTCATGAAGATAAAACAAAGAAAATCACAACCGTGAAGGAGGTTTGGATATCCGGTCTCAATTAGCATAGACCTCGACAATTTTTGACAGTTTTTGTTTCGATTGAGAAGATATATCAAACAGTCGAGACAGTGTTTCATCGGCAATCCAAACACCTCGAAGTTCGTCAAAAAGACTCCGCTGCTCGTTGTATTTTCAACTCTCTTCCAAGTGTCTGGATATCTTGTTGAAACACAGTCTCTCGTGTTTGACATATTACTTGAAAAGTTCTTAATTTGAAGTACCATAACCAACAGTACTTTTTGACGTGTTTTCAAACCAATTCAATGATTTGTTACATTATTTAGTGGGATTTTTGTTTGTGTTTAGTTTGACTTCTCCATATTTGACAACACAACTAAACCAAAACCAGCTAGAGGATCACGTGCCAAAAAATACCCAGCTGTAAAACCAAGCTATGAATCTACAACTATACCCAGGCTCTATTTTGGTAAGGTGAACAATCAGGGCCGGGTTGTTCGAAAGCCGGTCAACGCTAACCCAGGATTTAAAGTTAACCGAAGTAAACATGTTTTTTACTACTCACGTTTTGTGTAGTTTGAGTTTAGTCAAGCTCAAAACTGAAGGACAAACATTATAAACAGAAAACCTCACCGAAAAGTCACAAAACTGAAATCAAAATTCTTGCTAATCCTGTAATTAGCTTAATCGGGCTTTGAACAACCCGGCCCTGCACATTACTGATATTCTATTTAGTCGTTCATGGGTAGATCCATGGGAAGGTTGGAAGGGATTGTATATCTCCCCTCCCTTGCNATAGCTCCATCTTGCCCGCTCGGGTAGCCAATCACAGCGCAGGATTTGATTCATCTTGTCCGCTCACGGAGCTAGCCATATAATAATCGATGGTAATGTTGACAAACAAAGTCAAAATACTCACGTTTAAGTAAACATCTTGGCTTGGCAAAAGTCAAAGGCTCGAAGTAGAGTTTGGATTGTTCAGAATAATCTTCACGTTACCGAAACTTAAACAAAAGGAACTTGCAATAAACTCGACGGAAATTTTGCAGCTAAATTGAAACTGCACAGGTCATCTTATATACGCACAGCCGTGCGTACATAGAAATTTTGTTCATGATGGCTCAATATGAATTAGATCGGACTAGCGCGCGCGCTATGTTATAAACTTATTTATGTATGTTATCAACGTTCTTAATTTGAAGTACCATATCCAACAGTACTTTTTGACGTGTTTTCAAACCAATTCACTGATTTGTTACATTATTTACAGGGATTTTTTTGTTTGTGTTTAGTTTGACTTCTCTATATTTGACAACACAACTAAACCAAAGCCAGCTAGAGGATCACGTGCCAAAAAATACCCAGCTGTCAAAGCAAGCTATGAATCTACAACTATACCCAGGCTCTATTTTGGTAAGTTGAACAATCAGGGCCGGGTTGTTCGAAAGCCGGTCAACGCTAACCCAGGATTAAAAGTTAACCGAAGTATTACTTTTTCTTGTATAAACATGTATTTTACTACTCACGTTTTGTGTAGTTTGAGCTTAGTCAAGCTCAAAACTGAAGGACAAACATTATAAACAGAAAACCTCACCGAAAAGTCACAAAACTGAAATCAAAATTCTTGCTAATCCTGTAATTAGCTTAATCGGGCTTTGAACAACCCGGCCCTGCACATTTCTGATATTCTAGTTAGTCGTCCATGGGTAGATCCATGGGAAGGCTGGAAGGGATTGTATATCTCCCCTCCCTTGCTAATAAGGGAGCTTAAGCAATGACGACGGCTACTCCAAGGACGACGCCTAATAAAAATTGGATTTACAGTTTACCTTCAAATTTCACCGTTATCCAGATCTGTTTAGTAGGCCAATTGGTCTAAAACCCTACTTAAACTAAATTTGTAATGTCAGGGATAAAGTCTAAATGGAAATACGTGACTCATGTTCTCTAAAATACACAGAACTTGGTCATTTCACATTGTTGCTTTGCAGAGGACGGCAAAGAACTATGCAAAGATTTATAACGCACATGCACAGCCATTGTTCTTCTCATTAAACCTTTTGTTTGGTGACGTTCTCGTTGCCATCGTCATTGCGGTTCGCCTAAGTTCCCTATTTTCTAGAGGAGCACACCTCCAGACACTAACCCTGCCCCCTGCCTCAGGGG